TAAACGCTTGGCTATGTTTTGTCAAGGGGATAAAAAAAAGTCTCCTTGCTTTGAATTATGGCTTATGATTCTCCCTCTTTTGTTTCGATGCTTTGTACTTTTTGCACAAAAGACCTGTACTTTTAAGGACCGTGTATCCATGCCCATTTCCATTCTGTTCTTTCTGTAGACAACTACACAAATTTCACAGTGAGGGCTAGGCAGAATATGAACCTAGAATGGTGTTTTGATAAATGCAAGATAACAAAAAGCAACACAGATCCTTCAACTTCCCTCTATCCAGCTCTTGCGCTAGTATTAGCAGGTTTAGACCAATATTAAATTACAATTATAGCTCACTAAATAACACACTAATAAATTAACTGATCTAAAACAGCCAATCATGAAGTACACATGAAGAACTTTTGTTGCAGATATATGAAACACCATAGATTACGGCCTAGCTTCTGCTTTTACAGATCATTTTTTCCAGCGGCTTAAAAGAAAGTGACAGTTCAAGAAATAGGAGATAAAATCTCATTGAGGCCAGGCTCTCTTCAGTATATTTACAGGTAGGCAGTGGGAAACAGCTTCTGTCTATATTTACAGTTTTGCATGGGGAAACAATTTCTGCCAATGACAGTGAAGTTTGCGAAGACTGTGTGACAAATGTGGATGAAAGCATATTTTAATCATATCGGCACATATGCAGAAGGATGTTGTGTCTGCTGACTTAATCCCATAATAAGTAAACAGGTCAAGTGACACCACTCAATTCTATGGCTGTTGCTTGTAAAGGAAGTTTGTTGTGATACTGCCATGTGAAACCATAAGATGACAAAATCAAAAGACAGCTTACTGGGCTGCATTAAAAAAGGGGTGGCCAGCAGGGAGAGGGAGGTGATTGTCCCCCTCTACTCGGCTCTTGTGAGGTCCCATCTGCAGTACTGCGTCCAGGCCTGGGGCCCCCAGTAAAGGAAGGACGTGGAGCTCTTGGAGCGGGTCCAGAGGAGGGCACTAAGATGATCAGAGGGCTGGAGCACCTCTCCTGTGAGGAAAGGTTGAGGGAACTGGGCTTGTTTAGATTGGAGAAGAGAAGGCTCTGGGGAGACCTCATTGTGGCCTTCCAGTACTTGAAGGGAGCACCTAAACAGGAGGGGGAATGGCTGTTTACGAAGACAAGGGGGAATGGTTTTAAACTGAGACAGGGGAGGTTTAGGTTAGATATTAGGAAGAAGTTTTTTACACAGAGGGTGGTGACACGCTGGAACAAGTTGCCCAAAGAAGGTTGTGGATCCCCCATCCCTGGAGGCATCCAAGGCCAGGCTGGATGTGGCTCTGGGCAGCCTGGTCTGGTGGTTGGTGACCCTGCACATAGCAGGGAGTTGAAACTCAATGATCATTGTGGTCCTTTTCAACCCAGGCCATTCTATGATTCTATGAAATCAACACTCATTTAATTTATAGAAACCAACAATCAATATTAGAATGTTAAGTAATTTGAATGTGAAAGGTCTGCCCTCATACCTATTGCCATTCAGTTCTCCAGTTGCTGCTTGTACTCCTTTTAATGATTTGATAAGGTCACTGTATTCCATGTTGAAGACTGCTGGCTCACATCTATATATTCAAAATTTCTATTACTCATGCAGGGACTAATTGGTAATCTAAGGTGGCCTAAATGACAGCTTGTGATAAGACTACTTATGAATATGCAGGAAAGGACACAAAAACTATCATAGAGAAAGCCCAGCATTAGCACACAAAAGGATCATGGGAAGATTCTCATGTTCACATGAACATGACTTCAAAATCAATAAATCAACCCTTGAAATATTATTTTTTATCCAGAAACAAACAAAACTATCACACAACACTTAAGGAAGTCTTCCTGGCCTTCCAGGATCTCTCACAAATTTTCCTCTCATGCTTCTTGAATCCCTACCACCTTTCCCACAATGATTAGCAGTGAGGTTAAGGCTGTGGGAAGGCTAGAAAGGTAAAGATGCCGTGGAGGCTAATAGCAGTAGAGAAGGTGTACCTATCTCCATTTCTCTCTGCTGCTCAAAAATAGACACTAATTTCCACAATGAATCAGAAAGAGTTGTCTTGGGCAAGCGAGATCCACTATTCCGTACTATGGGAAGCAATACTGGGCAAAGAAGTTGGCAGTGGTACAGAACTATGACCGTAAGCCATTGTGTGTCCTGACATCAGCAACACTGACAATTTTTAATGTCTCTGATGAGAGCAACAGCTTGAGTCAGACTGCCAGCACATAAACAGGAGCAGCTCTAGATTCAGAGACTATTTGGCTGCCAGATTGGGAGTGAAGCAATACTTTTCAGGATCAAAGTTACTGAGTATGCAGAAAAAACACCTTGTTAGTAACTGTACTAGTTATTTGAGAGTCATTTTTAATTGAAAGAATCATAGAATGGCTTGGGTTGGAAGAGACCTAGCCTAAGATCATCAAGTTCCAATCCCCTGCTGTGGGCAAAGCTGAGCTGAGGCTGCCCAGAGTCTCATACAACCTGGCTTTGATCATCTCCAGGGATGGGGTACCAATATCTTCTCTGGGCAGCCTGTGTCAGTGCCTCACCAACATCAAGTAAAAGATTTCCCATGCATCTAATCCAAATCTCCTCTCTTTTAGTTTAAAGCCACTTTCCCTTGTCCTATCACTATCAGACTGTGTAAAATGTCTGCCTCCCTCCTGACTAAAATCTACTTTTAAGTACTGGAAAGCTGCAAAGAGGTCTACCCAAAGCTTTTCCTTCTCCAGGCAGAACAAGCCTGGAGAAGCTCCCTTACCCCATCTTCATAGGAGAGGTACTTCAGCCCTCTGAGCATCTTCATGGTCCTCCTCCAGACTCAATCCAACAGCTCCATGTTTTGCTAGTGCTTGGGTTCCCCAGTCTGGTCACAGTGCACCAGCTGGGGCTCACAAGGGCAGTGCAGAGGGGCTCTCTCCCTACTGTCACCCCCCTTTTCATGGAGCCCAGAATGCTGTTGGCCTTTCAGGCTGAAAGAACATTCTGCTGGTTCATGTCCAGCTTTTGGTCCACCAGGATCCCCAAATCCTCCTCTACAGGGCTGCTCTGAAGGAAATATTCTCCCAGCCTGTACACGTATCTGGAATCACCATGACTTAAGAGCAACTCCTTGTACTTGACTTGGTTGAATTTCATTAGGTTCATGAGGACCCATTCCTCATGGGCCAGTATCACCCACCCCACTCAGCTTGGTGTCACCAGCAAACTTGCTGGGGAGTACTGTCAATCCCACTGCCTATGTCACTCGTAAAGAAATGGAAGAACACCATTCTCAAGATGGACTCTCTGGGGGACACCGCTCATCACCAGCCTCTACTTGGACATAAAGCCATTGATCACAATTCCTAGGTTGCAACCATGCAATCAATTATTTTATCCACCAAATAAAATATAAAATATGGTAGATAAAGGATTCCCAATCTAAAATTTATTTAATTTTTTCTGGTATTTACTTTTTTTTTTTTTTTAATTATATTTCTTTGTTTTAGTTGAGGCAGTTTAACAAGTTACTCTTTCAGAACCACCTGCACATGGATGATTCCTCCAGAGGATGCTATAGCAGGTTAGTAGAGCTGGGTGCAAGGACTGGACAACTTTGGACTGCAAGACTCCAGGTAGACTGCTGTGAAAAGGCTCATGCAATGAGCTTACATTCTGTTCAGTATGCTTTACTGAGAGTAAGTCTGAAATCACTACAGAGAGGATTGAAAACCTTCCCTCCTCAAAAGCTTTTAGGAAGATGCCTCTACTTAGAGAGGGACGTTTCCCCAGCAAAGCACCAAACACAACCGAGTCTCTGCTGGAGAACCCATAATATCACATTAATCTCACAATTGGCAAGTTAGCGTTAAGAGACGTAAATTTTGTCAAGCAATCAATCAGCAAGGAGACATAAAATAACACCCCTAATCGCACACTAGTATTTTATGATTCTGCTTTCTTATCTTTATTATTGTATCGTTATATATTGCAGCAGTGCCTAAAAGATCCAGCAGCTGGACAGGGTCCTACCATGTCAGGGACCACAGAGAAACAGAAAAAGATACAGCACAGGTAAAAAACAAAAAATGTATTTAGTTAGGAAGTAAAGATCATTCATGCTTTATTAATTTGTTTAAATGCTTGTATCACAAACCTGTGATTTTGATTACATTTTATGTAGTTCACTTTTTATTTAGCTTGGATTCATACGTACAATTTCCAGAAACATACAAAATCCATTTTTATTATGCAAGATAAATGTTGAACTACCACCTGATTGCTTTAACTAAATCAACTTTGTATACACAGTGTTTTGTGGACAGAAGTTGTTTCACTTCATACTAGCCAGCTTAAAGCAAGCCAGCTCCAGCTGTATTCATGCTGGATCTTAGCCTAAAAATTCTGCAAAAACAGGAAGCCATCTACAGAAAGCAAGTTTCATTCACACTGTCTTCCTAACCTACCTGGAGGTACTCCCCCTATCGAGGGTCTCTTGTTCCACAGCCTTTGGGAGAACACAAGCACATATGCTCATACACGTGGCCAAGAAAGTAAGTTTTCTGTCAACCTTCCCTCCTGCAGGACCACCTGTGATGTGCTCCTTTCTATCACACAGTAGTCAGAAAGTTGCTGTTTACACTGGACTATCAGATGAACTTTTTAAACACTTTCTTTTCCTGACACTCAGACACTTCTGAACTATGCGTACAGCAGTGTTGGCAAAGCACTGGGAGAAATCTTAGAAAAATAAAGAACATGGATGGTGTTTCAAATAGATGTCAGTTTTCATCCATTTGCTTACAATAGAATTGTCTCATTTCCTTCCATCTGATCTTAAATTTTATACAAGTGTTCCTTTTTTCATCATTAGAGTCTACAGAGAAAAGTCATAGTTGCAGCAGACCTAACCCAGTTGTACAACATCTCCAGGGTCTTACACAATATAAGCCTTTCCCCCTGCTCATCTCATTTTAAACTACCTACCTTCTGCATTAAGATGCATGGTTTCCAGAGGTCCAATAAACGCATATCGCATTCCCAGTCCATCAGACATCACAACGTCTAGATCAGTAGGAGATATTACTCCTTCCTAAGTAGCAGGAGTAGAACAGGAAAATTTGTGAATGCTGAGTCTTAATGCAAAACTGGCTGCTTCTTGTATATAATTTAAAACTAATTTTTAAAGAAGGAATAAAAACTGAGGCTAGAAGTTTTTGCCAGAGAAGTGCACCTGTTATACAAGTTGTCTCATAGTTCACGATAAACATTAATTCACTTTTTAAAACACATTATTATTAAGATCACTGTACTTCATAACTCAAATTCACTTTAAAAAAGTGTTGTATATACACTGCTTTTTTTATTTATAATATCAACTGTCTGTACACACCAGTTTGTCTGATACTGCTTACAAAAACTCATGTATTAAAATTAAATTGATCTGTTTATGTCAGCCAATACACCTTTTGCTAAGATACTGAGAACCAGAGAGCAACATAGCACATGACCATAAAGAGTTTATACCAGAATCCAAGTTCTCTATCTGCACTTTCAAATACATAAGTTCTGGCTAAATCTTGCAGCTCCCTTCGTGTTTTCTTAGTTCAGGACTTTCGTACAGACCCAAAATTAGTAGAATGGGGGTGCAGCATCAGTACTACCCTGAGGCCTCCTGAAAAAAAGGCTGGGACCAAACACGCAAGTAAAGCAGCTGCCACTCCCTCCCAAAAAACTCACTGAACATTCAGCCTGCCTGGCCTCAACCTGCCCAGGTTCTTGGGTTCATTGCCAGAATCAATTCTCAGAGCTGGCAGGATAAAGAGTATGTAGAATTTCTCCAGTTAAAAACTGAATGCTGCTGTTCCACCCACACAGCGTCATGTACAGGAAAGCTAACGCCACCATCAGGTTAGGGCAAGCAGCATGAGGACTTATAAAAACATGCCACTGTTTCACTACTTTGCAGCTTTACTTAAGAATATTTATTATATGAAGTTGATTTTCCACTTACTGGAAAGGACTGAACAAATTATAATTTCTTGAAACTAAGCTTTATCTGATGTAAGAACTCACCCTCTTTATTCCCAAGGACACAAAAGCATTTCCTTCTGGTTGTTAAGGTGAGACAGATGTTGAACTGTTTCTGCTTTGCCTTCCTAATCTTTCTAGAGGTGTTCTCCCTACTCAGGATTTCTTGGTCCTTTTGGAGCTGCACAACACAAGTACACTAATCTGCTTGGTCAAGATATGACACTCTCTGTTAACTTTCCCTCACACAGGACCACTCTCCTTGCATCACACAGTGATCAGCTAGAGTTCCTGACCTGCTGCAGACTTCGACATCTGAGATAGACATCTAGGCTCTTTGTGATCACTAGGGAGAGAAATGAAATAATCATCCTAAAGCATATATCTAGAATAGGTCAGATAAGTTGAGTTCCAGAAGTGTCTAATTGTCCTCTCCTGCTGAAAAATGACTAAGGAGCTTGAAACTCATCAACATCTACATTGTAGAAATCTCATTTAAATGAGTTGAATCCCATCCACAGCATCTTCCTTTGCTTGTCAGCCACATCATTTATTGTTACTTTAAAAGAAAATGATAAGCCAAGAACAACTTAACTTTTGCAGCTGGCCAAAGAAATCAAGTTTTACCATCTCAAGTTGAAATGCCTTTTATAAAATTCAATCCCAAATCTCAATCTGTTAGTAGGCATTGCTCCTAACAAAACTAATCCTGCTTGAATCACTGTCACAGGTGACTTTTGAAATCTATCTTGAATACAAAAAGATAACATAATTACTACAATCAACCCATATATTTGCAACATATGGCTCTGGCAACAATTTAATTAGGCACACAATGGCAGGGATAAGGAAGTATTATTTTCTTCAACTCAAAAGTAAGGCACAGGCATAGTAACGTAACCTGCTTAGAGGAAAATAAGGTCTGTGCAAAGACATGACTATGTGCAAGCCTCAGCACTCAAATTACAGAACCAGTGTTCATTTCATAAACAAAACTTTCAGAAAATGCACAGTACCTTTCTCCTGAAATGGCAACACAACTTCTCTTAACAAGAATAGCAAAGTAAACAAAAGCAGTCTTCTGCTTAGAGTGCTTCATGCAAACAGTGAGTTATGCTGGTAAAGCTGTGCTTGATGATTTTTCTCTTTGTTTGACATGGATTCGTGGACAAAAGATTAACCACGAGTTCCATACAAGCAGTGAACCACAGCAGCAGTTAGTATTATGCTTATAGCTTTTTCTTTTTTCTTCGAAGTTAACAGACTCGAAATGAAACTCTTGAAATACTTTAGAATCAATGTAAATTATTTTTCAAATGAAAAAAATTATTCCCTTCTTCTGATAATAGTCTCCTATTATTCTTACAAGTGAGCTCACCTTTTCTTTGCCATATAGCCTCTCTTAAAGAAAAGTCTTTTGCTTTTTTTGGTTCAGAAATGAAAAACACATAAATGAGAAACAAGTTTGGCTGTCTTCCCCTAGGGGATAACTACTCCCACTTATGTTCAGGAGATCACAAGTTGGTGGAATGAATCAGCAGGGTGGGTGCAAGGTCAGCAAGGTGTCTTCCACAAAGACTGGCGTTTATGCTAAGAAGTAAGCAAGAAAGTCTTCCAACCCTGTTTCAGTAAATCTAGGTGTGAAACAATTCTCCTAAGAGGATTTTTCATCCTCTGCATAATCATTCCTATAAGCCTTTCCTTTAAGCACTGCTCAAAGGGAAGAGGATGTATGTTAAAACTAAAACCTTCTTCACCAGAAATTGACTTTCACAGCTACAGAAGTAAAGAACTTAATTTAAAACAAAATCTAACAAAATCCTCAGCAAGTCCAATGGCCAGTCAAACATCAGGATCCAGACTATATCAGGATACTTCAGGCTGCTTATGACTATTTTGCTGGTGCTCCTCATGAGGCAGGGGCCCAGCTCTCCTTTCCAGAAGCCTGTCCTGGTTCTGCAGTCTCCACTTCACCTTTAGGCCCGGACTAACCTGCCTGGTTTTAATCAACAGACTTTAACATCTGTGAGTCACACCTGCATCTCAACTTCTGTCACGGACTTGGCATCTAATAATATGAAACATGACACGGACAAAAAAAATATTTTTTCTACTGCTACCAATTCACCACGTTCTCCAAGTAACTGCAACATGCCTGTTGAGTTATCCTGGACTTTGCTGACAACAAATTCCATCTCCAGATTTGTCATTTTATCTTCTGAATTTCCCAAGATCCTGTTTTTTTTCTCTGCTTGCTACTAATATATTTGCTGTCTCTCAAAAGCATTTGTTACGCCCTTTTCTTCCCTATCACTTCAATCAAATAAGTCCCTTTGATCCACACCCTGATCAGATCTTTGCCCAGTCCTGTCATTCAAAGCATATGACTTTTCTCCTAGATCTCTCTACCAGGTCTCTCCTTCTATTTCATCATGTCTGAGGAATCTGTCATCCTGCACCATTCACATCTCCTCATTTTGTTGGCCCTATATTCTTCCACGACACTCTCACACACTTCACCCTGTAAGAACCTCTTTAGGATCAACACTATTTTTCTCTCTGGCCTTTGAAACTTCCTTTTATGTCAGCTCCTTTTTATGGAACACCACAACTATGTCTTTAAACCCCCACCTTATATATGATTTTTTTGTAAAGGTCTTCTGAACAAATAATGCAATGAATAGTAACTAATTCGGAACTGTGAAATTTAGAAAATTAAATTCTTGCCAGTATTTAAGGACTTTCAAGCGAGTCACCTGAGAAGGAAGAGGTCCTTAAATTAGACACTGAAGCCAATGCACATTCTTGCTGTGAAAATGGATTGGATGCTCCGTCCCTGGAGGTGTTCAAGACCAGGCTGGATGGGGCTGTGGGCATCCTGGTCTAGTACTAAATGCAGAGGTTGGTGGCCCTGTCTGTGGCCAGGAGGGGAGGGGTAGGGTAGTGATTCATGAACCTTGAGGTCCCTTCCAACCCAGGCCATTCTGTGATTTTGTGTGTGATTCTGTGAAAATGAACAGAATAGACACACAGCCAAGCTATGACTGCCTATTTCCCAATAAATTAACGAGAAAAATCTTAAATAGCAGTGCTGCCTGTTCTTACGGTCTACAGTCTCCACTACTATCACCTAAAAAAAAGCAACAAAAACCAACACCATTTTTGTAGAAAGGTGTATTAAAGTAGTACCAAAAGCTTATATAGAGAAAAACAAATAATCCTAAGACATGTATTATATGATTCATCTTGCAAACTGATTTTTGCAGGTTTTTAAAAGCAGCTGGAACTCCTAAATGAGATCAGGGATGAAGAATTGCCATGTTCTCCTCACTGTTTTTCCTGCTGTATTTCATCATCCCCTTAAAAATTTCATTTGATGCTCAGAAAAATATTTTACAAAGCAAAGCTTCAATTCAGCAATTCACAGTAAAAGGGCATTCCCAGATACTTATATTCAGGTTTGAGACTTGCAGTCTAATGTGTTGCTGAAACTGCGTAGTTGTTACTTTCTGAACCAAGTCAACCAAAGCTATCTTCAGAACAAAGTCCAACTATTTAACTAAAACTTCTGAAACATAATCCCAAGCTACTCTTAAAGGTACAAAAATAATAGCATCAGTAGTGCACTGGATGCTTTCCAAGCAAATAGAAATTTGCTCTCACAAACTACAAACACGATCAGATACACCAGTGGTCACTGCCGAAAGAAGTGTGAGAAAGTAAATAAATGATAACAGGGAATAAAAAAGAGGAAGAGATCTGAGATGCTCTTCCCTGCTATTGGTTACAGGCTATTTTCCTAGCTCCAACCTTGTAATATCAAAATTTAGAATTGAGAAAACTAGGAAGATTAGAGCAATAAGGTTCTTCATAGTAATCATACTGTGTCTCTTAGTCTCACTAAAACAAGCTGTGCAACTAAACAATTAAAAATACAGGTAAATAATCTTCAAGAACTTCAGTTTCATACATACTAGATAGTCCTGCATCCTCCAGAAAGTTCTCAGACACAAGACCTTAAATAGACAGACATGGAAACAGACAACTAGAGTCTTCCCAGTATCAGTATTTTCAGGGAATAAATGTGGACCACAAGACAAACAACCGACGCCAAAATTTCTGCCACATACACTGGCACTATTCAAGTATTTCTAACTTGGGAGTCAAAACAGTGTTCAGTAAGACATCTTTTCAGACAGAAGACCAACTGAGATCCAAAATGAAACATCTCATTGCAGCACTCTTGCTTCAAAGGAGAGCATTTGCTTGAATTCCTACTTTTAGGCCTATAAATGAATCTACGGCCTTTGTTACCAAGTTCTTAGAAAGTTAAACTTCTGTATCCTTAAAACCACTTCTCAAACCACCTACCTGGCCACAGTTCTCAGCATTCAACTATACTCTTTTTTGCCTCCAAATCTATCTTCATTCTTTTATTTTCCTACAATTGGTATCCAAATTTCCAGGTCTCCTAATTTTTCACCATTTTAACTCAGTACTTTCCATTCCCACCCTTGGGCCAAATCCTGCATTCACAGCACTCGATTTGGGCCCAGGTTCAAAATCCCAACCTATGCATGCTCTTGGGGATTTCAACACCTTCAGTAAAGACAAACTGCATCCTAATATCCAAGTTTCTCATTGCTAATTTCACAGGATCACTAAGGTTGGAAAAGATCTCTAAGATCATCCAAGTCCAACTGTCCACCTATCACCAGTATTTCCCACTAAACCCCGTCTCTCAGTACAACATCTAATGCTTCTTGAACACTTCTAAGGCAACTCTACCACCTCCCTGGGCAGCCCATTCCAGTGCCTGACCACTCTCTCTGAGAAGTATTTCCTAACATCCTGGTGCAAATTGATGCCATCCCTTTTAGTCCCATCACTAATTACATGGGAAAAGAGGCCAACTCCCGCCTCACCACACTCTCCTTTCAGGCAGTTGTAGGTAGCAATAAGGTCTCTCCTGAGCTTTCTCTTCTCCAGACTGAACAATCGCAGTTCCCTCAGCTACTCCCCATAAGCCTTGTCCTGGAGGACAATCCAGACCCTTCACTGCTTCATTGCCCTTCTCTGAACACACTCCAGGGCTTCAATGTCTTTCTTGTAGTGAGAAACCTTCCCCTAAATTATGCTGTGCTCTCTGCTCCAGCATCCATGCCCTTGTGCAGTTTGATCACCGTGCAGAGACTGAGCCCAATCCCAACCTGCTGATAGGGCTCCCACAGATTTCTGGCTGTGCTAACAGCTTTTTCTATTCTTAAGCCTGTGTGGCAGAATTTGATGAATCCAATGCACAATCCAGCAAGCAGATACACTTAATGCATGAATTCAGAGTAAGCAGTAAAGGCTTTGGGGTTGTAGTGCTCGCTTTCTGTGCAGCTCTGTGTTCAAATGTGCCTCACTAGGCAACACAATTGTAGCTTTGTATCAGAGTCTTTCTCCTGTCGTGTGACTCCTGCCCCATGCCTCCCTCACACATCTCATCACAACACTCCTGAATGAAAGAGGCTAGCTGTCAGTACCAACCTACAGTTAGGAACAAAAACATACCCTGCAAGCTGTTCAGTACATTCTGATAAAGATTTCCAGACAAATGCTATTAGCACAGCTGTACCTGCATGTCTATCACCAATACCCTTTTAATAGCATATAAATACTCTACCAGAAGTTTCAGCTAGTTCCTGGGATGAAGCAGGATCAGCTGACTAAAAAACAAAAAGGAAAGAAGTGGACTGTCATGAAAGTATATCTGTGCAAGCATGTGTGTGTAAGACTGCTCTCCCTGCTATGGCTATAAATATTTGAGTGAGGATCCAAGATGAGAACTTGCAAGTTCATATCTGTAAGTCCTCACGGACAGACAGTTATTGACATAAATGAGCTGATTTAAGATCGTTTCAAGTGGCTTCAAAACACTTAAAACCACTGCTGTGTTTCTCTCCCAGTTCATACATGGCATTTATATCCAGACTATTTGTGTCCTTGTTATATATCAGTGAATTGATACAGAACAGTGCAAATATAACAGCTCTCCATCAACAATGTGCATTTTTCCCCAATTACCATATTAAAATTCTAAGAAAACTTCAAACAGAAATATGAGCACTGATCAGTTTATGAAAAGTAAATGTAGGCACACAAATACTTGTTCAATTTACAACTAGTAATGGAACAAGTATGCTTGAAGTTACATTTTATGATTTTGTTTCATTGTTCTTTTACAACAGTCAAAAGCAACTATTTACAACTATTAGTATTAAAATCCCAATGGTTTCATAAGCAATCTCATAAGAATGCCTTTGTTCTGCATTCAAAATATCTTAGATTGTCAAATCTAATACACAAGATTTACCTATCTAACCACAAAAGGGTTAATAATAGGATCATTGTGGACAAGCAGTGTTTGTTAACCGTAACTTCCACTCACAGTTCAAGTAGTAAAAACTTCTGCTATTAGAATCGGTGTGGACTTACACAGCAAGAAAATAAGAACCCTGAGTAAAATTTTAATTTTAGGAGCCTCTCAAAGGTTGTAGAAAGCTGATGTTTTCACAACATTTTAACCTCCGATGATAAAGACTAAAAAGTGACTTAGAAGCCCAAACCCAGAAATATGTTTTTCCTCACTCCGAAAGCAGAAAGCACCAAAAGTACATGACTTAAAATGAAAACAACTATGTTGGCAGTGGAAGAGTAGGAAGATCACCTAGGGTGATTTCCCTCCACCAAAGGGGCTGTTTAGCCTAAAGTCACACAGCTGAAACTACACACCTTTGCTGTCTGTTTTCTGTCTAGACTTTCATCATGAAAATGAAACTAAACTTGTTACAGTTGAAATGTGTTATTTGCTTCAAATGCAATAAAATTAAACAAAAACAGAACAACTTGGAAACTTAGATGACTATCATTACCTGTCAGTGCTTGAAGTACTATCCTGTTACTATTAACATAATACCACCCACACAAAATCGTCCATAAGTGTTTATACTGAAGGCACAGGTTCATACTAAATATTCACCTCAAGTCAGTACACCCTTTTTTCCTGATAACAGCCCATAAAGCATGCTTATCTTTCCATAATTTAAGAGCAAATACAGTCACACTTTCAACCATAAACGCCGTATGTTAATATTACCTCAGTTTTAAGATCTTTATCTACATCTGTGAGTACAGTTCCTTTGAACAGCTTGAAAATAAATAAACAGAAACAATTCAACAGAAAAGCCAGCCATACTCATGCCAGTTCAATCTCTTCCCAACAGAATACCACCAGTGTCATAATTCAGCTAATTCTGATGAAAGATCAGACTTTGTAGCACAGAATATGCAACGTGGGAAAAGATGAAGTGACACAAATAGATGATACTCAGCTAGAAGTCAGAATGGAAGGAGGAGAAATCTGTCTTTACCTACAAGTATCGAATAACCATTGAACCTGAGTGCAATTCTTTAAAGGCCAAAGAAAAGACCATTTAAAATAATTTTAAAATAATCACTACAAAATAAGCCAGTAATATTTAGAAAATAACAGCAAGTAATGAGACAACCTAGAAAAAATGAAAATCAGCATTTTGACTTCAGAGCTTTTAACATTGTTCTTTTGATTGTCTTGAAAATCATATTCAAAAAAGAAAGTAGAATAAAGAACAATTGTTAAGACCATATCACTTTGTTTTTCACAAGCTCTGTTATTTCTTACCAACATCACTTCTTACTGTTCTTAATTTATGTGCTAACTTTAATTTTTGTGTACATAAGGTACAGGTTAAAAAAAGACAAACTGATAGCAAATTTAAATATACAATCCCACCTGTCTCGATAAAAATAAGTGTGTGTAGAAATTGGAAAAATATATACATACACCCACAAGTCTCCAGGCTTCACTTATCACTGCATACTGGAGTCGATTCAGAACAAACCCCTCAATTTCTCTGTTTAATTTGACAGGTGATTGTCCAATCTTCTTCATCAGAGCATACGTTCTCTCTGTAACAGAAGGATCTGTTTCTGGATGTGGAACAATTTCAACCAGTGGCACAAAGTAAGGTGGATTTACCTAAAGAAGAAACACAAAAGAAGAATGTCGACAATCAACAGACTAAGAAAACTAGTTAATATAAAGCATCTTTATAGCTATCTAATAATACAGACATTTTCCAGTAAACAAGGTAAGTCTGATCTTTAGAGCCTGAGCAAATTCACCAATTCAGTTAAAAAAATAATAAAATTAAATTGATCTTCTATCATTAAATCTAGCAAAGTTTATGGAGCTACAGTAAGAGAGAACCCAATCAGCACTAGAAGACTTCATACTGACTTGAATTAATGGATCTTTTCCCAATATTCAGACTGTTTTTTGTTGTAAAACAACCACCACCTGTCTTCCCTAAAGAAACAAGGCATTTCCTTTTAGATATTCAGGAAATTTATAACAAAACTATTCCTATAAACCATCTGTGCAATTCAACACTTTAGCTGTTGCCAGCCCAACCCCATAAATATATGCCAACCACACTAATAGATATCACATACAATAAACTTTCCAAAAAGCCCTAGAACAGGTTACCTTCAAACACTGCACCTGCTAAAAGAAAAAGCAAAAAGACAAATATTATCCCTCCCTGACTCTTCCCAAATTCTATTTCTCAACAGTCAAGACCTATGTGTAATATAGTACTGAAGCTATAAACAAATATTCTGAATAATATCCTAGGAACACCTCTAAGTTCTTCAGGTCAGTATTGCTGCAGTACACAATGTTTCCTCCTTTGAGAAGCAGCAGTCCTTACACAACCATCTTAAAGCCTTAAATACAGCTCTTGTACTCATTTCCAAGTAACAGACAGATGTAACTAATGATTAAGTGACTACCAGAAGTAACATTTACATTTAAAGGATGGCACTTAAGGACTGATTATTTCACCATGCTCCTTTATGGACAACTGCTCTCAGCTCCACTTATGCAAATGTAAATACAAGACTTAATCACAGCAACATGCAAGCAACCCTTCCTCTGGGTCGTTGGTTTTCTCCCCACTTTTCGGTATTTACAAGTTTCTTTTAGAGTCTGACCAATGCATGACCTGCTGCATGGTCATGTCTGCCCTAACCAGTGTAACACACTTCATTCTCTTTGGCAGTGCCACCACAAATCTCTGTGGTGTGACAGATGCCATTACAGACATAGAGCTGCCAGGCAATTCAGCAAGGCCTGAAGCACTACAACCACCAAGAAGCTCTCTGAAGGCTTTTCTAACTCTTAGGTACACTGCAGTGTCTCTTCAGAAGGGAGACAGGTTAACTCTTAAGCCAGACTGAGGCTAATACAAATCTCTTCCAAGATTACTTTTGACAGAGATCTTATTGAAATATTCTATTTCATGGACTTGGCACTGCGAGTGCATGGGTGTGTTAACAAGCATGCTGAGGAAACTGAGAAGGACAATTTTTGTAAGAGTAGATTAGTAGATGCTGGTAAAAAACAGAAGTGGTAAGACAGATGAAATTTATGGGGGACAGAGGAAAAAAATTCTAAAAATTAGAAGGGAAATGTGGAATGCAAAGCCATTCTTAAGGGAGCAGAAGAGTTTACCTTACACAGCCTAACAAAATAAAAGCTAAGAAGGGATATGGTAAACACACAGAATTAGACAAGAGAAGTGACATAACTACACAGTCTAAACAAACAACAAATTAATTTTAATGACTATTAATAAAACCAAAATAGAACAGAAAAACAACTTCAGATAGAAGCAGTCATGTAAATTAATCATAATAAAGCATGTAGCAAAGAGAGCTCGATATCTTTCAAGGCCAACTGATGATATGGTTTCCTTTATAGCAAGGAACTTCACTGAGCAGCTCGTCTCCTCTAGCTCCATGTTTCTAGCTGTGTGACCTAGCAGGCTGACACAGTACTCAAGAAATGAATGCTGTGAAAGGAAGGCCAGAGAATGACTGCAGAGCACAGCTGTGCCTGTAAGGATTGTGTGCATTTCTATTATACAGCTGTGATATGTTATTTATTTTTTTTCTAGTTCTTAAGCCTATTACGTTAAGTAGAGTAATTAGCTCCTCCTGCCCTTACAGCCTTTCATTTCTCCTAAGCAAGCTCACCTGCATCAGAGCCTTTACAACTTAAGGTTTTGTCTTTCTAGAATATCAGATTCCACACTGTTTTCACAGCATCTTTCTGAACTGCTAACTTCCTTCAGTCACCATTCCCCATGATGTCAGCAAGGCCACAATTAAAACCATCTAAAACCAACTGCAAAGTAAGTATTTGTCCTGATGTAACAAATAGAGAAATGCTCCTGGAATTATGTACAGGATCCCAGCTTCCACAGTATACTCCCCTTGAAGTGAAGGTGAGACTACTAAGAAATTGGTCTCAGTCAGACTGCAAGGCCATTTCAGAACAATTAAAAACTCCAAACTATTTGCTTTGGAAAATACATACATACATTGCTTTGTAAGTATCCTTACAACAGCAATCTAGAAAAATGCAGAGACTGACTGCTTTGCCAGATCTGACCAAAGATTGTTTCAGAAAAATGCAGCTCCAACTAAATAGACCAATCAACAGAAACCAACCTGGGATGATAATAAAAAAGAATAATTAAATATGAAAGGCTGACAGACAGGAGGAGCAGAAGCCTAGGAAATGGTAATAAATAAAGTCATAATTATCAATAAAATTATTTAATACAGTAGTTTAAAAGAATAGGCATTTTGTTTTCTCTTACACTACAGAGTTACAATCTGGAAATATGAAGTAAGCAACTCCTGAATTTTAGACATAGGCACACATACAAACTTTGACACTTGTTCTTCAAAGGGAAACATCACCCCCATTTACAAGAACGGGAGGAAGGAGAACCCAGGGAACTAGAGGCTGGTGAGCTTCATCTCTGTGCCTGGAAAGATCATGAAACAGATCCTTCTGGAAGACATTCTAAGGCACATGAGCATCATCTGAGACAGCCAGCACAGCTTTATCAAGGGAAAGTCATGCCTGACAAATCTGGTGCCTTCTATGATGGAGTGATGGCACTGGTGGACAATGGAAAGGCAACTTTTGTCATCTATCTGTACTTCTGCAAGGCCTTTGATACAGTCCCCCACCACATCCTTATCTCCAAATTGGATAGATATAGGTTTGAAGGGTGAGCTATTCAGCGGATAAGGAATTGGTTGGATGGTCGCAGTCAGAGGGTTGTGGTCAACAGTACCATGTCTAGATGGAGGCCAGTCACAAGAGGTGTCCCCCAGGGATCTGTCTTGGAACCAGTACTCTCTAACATCTTATCAGTGACATAGATGATGGAATCAAGCACATCCCCAGCAAGTTTACTGATGACACCAAGCTAAGTGGTGCAGTTGACAGAATAGAAGGAAAAGATGCTGTCCAGAAGGACCTTGATAAACTCTAAAAGTAGGCCCCTGTGAATCTAATGAGGTTCAACAAAGCAAAGTGCAAGGTTTTGCACTTGGGTCTAAGTAATCCCATATATGTATACAGACTGGGAGAGTAACTCTTTGAGAGCAGCCCTGCTGAGAAGGACTTAGAGGTTCTGGTTGATGAAAAACGTAACATAAGCCAGAGCACATGCTTGCAGCATGGAAGGCCAATGGTATCCTGGGTGACCAGTAGGGCAAGGGAGGCAATTGTCCCCCTCTGCTTTAATGAGGTCCCAGCTGGAGTACTGCATCCAAGTCTGGGGCCCCCAACACAGGAAGGATGTGGAGCTTTTGGAGAGGGTCCAAAGGAGGGCCATAACGATGATCCAAGGACTACAGCACCTCTCCTATGAAGACAGGCTGAAGGAACTGGCCTTGTTCAACCTGGAAAAGAGAAGGCTGCAGGGACATATCATTGCAGCCTTCCGATATTTAAAGAGAGTTTATCAACTTGAGGGAAATAAACTTTTTACATGCGTAGATAGTGACAGGACAAGGGGAAATGGTTTTAAACTAAAGGAAAGGTGATTTAGATTAGGTTTCAGAGGGAAGCTCTTTACTGAGAGAATGGTGAGGTGCTGGAACTGGTTACCCAGAAAGGTTGTGGATGCCCTGTCCCTGGAAGTAGTTGGATGAGGCCAGGTTGAGTGGGGCCCTAAGCAATCTGATCTAGTACTTGATCTAGCAGCTGGCAGTCCTGCCTGTGGCAGGAGGGTTGGAACTTGATGACCCTTGAGGTCCTTTCCAGCCAAAGCCATTCTATGATCTTTGGTGGTTTTTTTTTTCCTTCTTTAATTAAAAGAGGATTAAAAAAAAAAAAAAGCAGTAAATTATTTGGACAGAATCCTTCTGATCAGTCACCCCAAGGCACAAAGGCAGTGGTAGCAGGGTGTCAGAAAGGAACAGCTCAAGCATTTTGACTCTGCAGCATTAGGTTGTTGTAGAGATCTCATAGTAAAGCAGCACTGTGAAAAGAGCACAGGGAATTTTATGGGTTGATCAACAAAACACACTTCCTGTATTCTGAGACCCAGTAGCTGGAATAACACAACAATATCAGTGCAAGAATTGAAATGGTAGGTATCTTGAGCTAGTGGTACAAAACATCCATGCATACTGTCAATTCAGTATATGCTGTTACTCACAGAATGATGAAACTAAAACATTATTGAAAATTCAGGCCCTGTACACTAACAATGGCACAAAAGCACTCAAAATATCCTCTAGTCTCTCTCAGTCTGCAAGAAATAACTCGGATGCCATTAAATTAAGTACTTCTAATACCATTATAAGAACAATACTCTCCATCATACTTACAGGATGTGACACAATACACTGCTTAACATGTTTAAGGCCAGTGAATAATTTGCTAGGTAAGAGACAAGAGGTTGAGCTGCTCAAGATAACACTGTCATCAACAATGAGATCCAATTGACTAAAAATCTTCTTTTTCAGGTCCAGGTTCTCGGGAGTACATTCCTGAAATAAGAACATAAAAACAGTGTTAGTAGACTTCTATTAATAGCACTTATCCATGCATTTCAGGCTTCAGTGATCCAATCAAAAATATAAGAACTCTATACAAACTACCAGTTTTAACTCAGCATGGATACACCAGTAAGCCACAACAGAAAAATATCTTCCTACATACAAAGAAAGGGAAAGTCCAGGAGGTTCTCTACAGCAGAAAGGAGATGACCACACACCACTGCAGACTGAACATAAAATAGATTGTTCTGGTTTGCATACAGTACAGACTTCTACTGATGCACAGATGTAACATGGTAGGGAGGAATAAGACTTGTTTTTCATCACTGTTTTTGGTTGTTTTTAAGAGAACATCAAATGAGGTAAGTCAGTATTCTTTTTCAGACAAGATGAAAATGAACATATGTAGCTACAAAGAAGATGAACCTGCAGTTCCCACAACTATGGCAGAGAATACCAACCTTAAGAATCTGCACTAAAATACCTGCCATACTCAAAAAGTTATTCAACCTATTACAGACCAGAGAAAGATTGCATACTATCATATTCATAGATTGAAAAAGAAAGCATACTATCAAAACTTTTCCCAAAGCTAATGAACATGCCTAGCTCTGCAGAATGGCAGTGTGAAATTTCACAGGTATGAGCCGACAGCCAGATTCAATCTCTAGAATGTTAAAAGTTATCCCCAGGAGCAGCCGGAAGGAGAGCATGCAGAAATCTGGGAGCAATGAGGGCATGGGAAAACAGAGAATCCTGGAGTCAACAGGAAATACTTCCAACTGACCAGGACAAGGACAGCCTGCTTGGATTCTTTGTTTGTTTGTTTTTTTACCACCTAAAAGTGTTTCAAAAAAATCCAAACAGAATTCCAAACTTCAAAGACTTCAGCTTTCCCTTTAAAAGACACAGACAATACCTACTTTTTTTCCCTATGTATCAGCCTTTCATCCCATCCTGTCTGGTTACGCTGAACCAGACAGAAATGCTCAGAGCCAGTTTCCATCAGACCAAGTACAAAAGGGTTAAAACTAATTTTAAGCCTTATTAGGATATAAGCAAGTTGTATGGGACAGTACTAAAAGTTCCATGATGTAGAAAAGATAAACAGGGTCATTTAAGAACTCCAGATAGAGCCCAAAGTAATAGATGGCGTTATCAAAACAAAGTGATACTCTGCTCCTAATTCCAGGATCCCTGCTTGTTAGTTAAGTTTAAATAGTTTCTTTTAGTAAAGCCAAAGATGAAGAGAATTCTGCAGATACTGTTCAGGCTAATAAAAGGGTCACACTGAATAGGCTTATTGAGAGCTTGAAACTCTAAGCCTCCTCTCACATCAGATGATAATCAAAAAGGCAAACTCAAATCTGCTGGAAACTCAAACCTGCCACGATTACGCAAGGTTTCTGAATGGGCCATTTGCTTGAAGTTTCTCATATAGCATCACAATTGTATTCACGTTGTTGGACCACTGCAAAGAAGTTTCTATCCTCATCAAGCATGCAATTATTTTCTCAGAGAAACCAATTCCCTTAAGAACAGAGGGAAAATAAAACTCTGAACAACCTATTAAACAGGAACCTCACTCACTGTCAGTTTTGGAGCACAGAGAGGTCTGAAGCTATCCTGCTTACCCTGAGAAAAAGAAGATCAAACAAAGATAAGATACGGCTTTAAAGCCACCTCAGTCTCCCTCAAAGAATCAGTGCTAAGAAGGTTAGCACACACCTCAATGCATTTTAAGTGACACTGAATATTTCTGTGCCCTTTTTGTAGGCAGGATGGCACTTCTCATGTGCAGCAAACAGTACACCTTTATTCTGAGGCTTGAGCACCTGAACAAGGCTGCTACTAAATTGACTTTGACTTTATCAGACACCTTTAACAGCCTGATCAGAACATGACAGCTACTAATTTTTAAGACCCACCTCCTGGAATAATTATGTTGTATTAACAACTTAAAGACAACAGGTATTAAGCTGTCTAACTATTTGTTCAGCAAACACTCAGCAGCCGCTTGAGCACTCTATGAACTCTGAAGGCACAAAGATAAGCACGTACCAGACCACATCCACCCATATCCAGACAGAGTCTAGCCACCCCTAAAGAGAATCTGCCCTCATATGACTCAACCCCTTAAATGAATGCCAGTACACATAGAGCTTAGAAGTTTTATCTGTTTAAGTCAAGTGGTTTTGTACAGGCTCTTTCCACCATGCCATCTGCACTCCCACACACACCCGTGCTCATCTGAGCACAGTAACTTCATTTACTTTCATTAGATGCTGGCATCTTTCCAGGTTCTTCCCATCCACTCTTGGACACGCCAAGGAAGCAATCCACCTCCCTCTAGGAAACACTCCCCAAAACACTTTCCTTGCAGAACATCTTCCTTCTCCTTGCATGGCAATTAGACTTGCTACCAAGACTATGTGTTTACCAGCCCTGTGTGGTTAAGAAGCAAAGCGTTGCCTGAAGCAAAGCACTGTAACACAATGGTACATAAATGCACCAAATGCAACACAATGGTACTAAAATAGCAGCACAAGCATAAGACATGAGCTGAAATCCCAAGATTTAAGCTGACACAAAAAAGGTCAACCATTCAGCAACGTCCTTTTACAACATCTCACAACACTATCATTGGGAGCAGTACTGAACCACATGACAACAGTAGAGTCCAACAGCCCAAGCCATGACTAAGGTAGAAAATCATCCTCTGGATTTCTGTCTTCTCAGTCTCCATTGAGCTCAACAGGGCTTCAACAGCAGGTGAGCTGCTTAGAGGCCATACCCACTTTGACTGCTACACACGTGCTCTTCACCTTGAGCACTTAAATGAGGATCTCCAAATGCACCACAAACTCTGGCTCCATTCCTGTATTTATACACACCACTTACAGCACTGTAAGTGCTCTCAGTGCTGTGATGTAGCTGTCAGCTTCGAGGCCCTTCACAGAACACTCTCCAGGGCCAGGTGACAGCAATCCTTGTATGCAGACATCACAAGAAGCCTTCAGGGCACTGAGCTCCCCCACAGGCGAGACACAACCAGTGCTCCTGGGACACTAAGAATACCCACTGGGACAGACTGTCAGCTTTTGGGAATATGAACATCTTATCAGGATTAAGAAACAAAGAGCAGAGAGACATCTATGTCTCAGAAAGCTGCTTTTCAGCACCTAATCCCTTTATACAAATAATTTATCTTCTACAGCTATAATCCACTAAAAAGAAGACAGAAAAGACTTCAGGCATAGTTCTTTTATTTTCAACTTATCAAATCACTATAGAGGGATGTATTTTTAAAACAAAGCCTGATTTGCATACACCCACATAAAGAAAGGATTAAGTTATTTAGTGTTTAGTTTTATTCATATAAGGACAGAAGACAAAAGAGATCTGAACAGGAGATTTGGAAATTTAGTTAAATGAAACAGATCTTAGAGTTCTTTTAACTATAGCAAGTGCCTGTACAGTCAAATGCCATTATTCCATATTATTTAACAAATCTACATAATAACAATGAAAATAATGTAAATAATAAAAAGCAACTGCTGACTCCAGAAAGAAGCTTAAAAGATGAATGGTCTAAAATTTTGCAGCGTGATATCCTCCCTACACCAAATAATACGAATACAGCCCAGAGAGGTGAATTCTGCCTAATTCCTATAGGAATTTTGAGTAACCTACTCTAAGGATACTGCTGCATCAGGGGCTTGGACTAGACGATCTCCAGAGGTCCCTTCCAGGCCCTATGATTCCGTGAATCTGTTGATATGAACATTTAAAGTGTGTGGAAGATAGCTTAGAGTGTGTGGAAGATACCTTCTTTCTGCAGCTGGTAGGAGAGCCCACCAGGGTGGTACCCTGCTAGACCTGCTCTTCACTAACAGAGAAGGACTAGTGGGAGATGTGAAGGCTGGGAACTGTCCTGGGCAGAGTGACCATGAAACCGTAGATTTCTTTATTCTTGGAGATCACAGAACGGCCAGGTTTGGAAGGGACCTCAAAGATCATGAAGCTCCAACCTCCCTGCCACATGCAGGGCCACCAACTTCCCCATTCAGTACTAGACCAGGCTGCCCAGGGCCCCATTCAACCTGGCCTTGAACACCTCCAGGGACAGGGCATCCACAACTTCTCTGGGCAGCATGTTCCAGCACCTCACCACTCTCTCTGTAAGGAATTTCCCCCTGATGTCTAACCTAAATCTCCCCTCCCTCAACTTAAAACCTTTTCCCCTCATCCTGCAGTTATCTACCCTTTCAAAGATTCCCCTCCTGTTTGTAGGCTTCCTTTAGGTACTGAAAGGCTGCAATGAGGTCACCCCGCAGCCTTCTTTTCTCCAGGCTGAACAAGCCCAGCTCCCCCAGCCTGTCTTCACAGGGGAGGTGCTCCAGCCCCCTGACCATCTTTGTGGCTCTCCTCTGGACCCTCTCCAACAGTTCCCTGTCTTTCTTGTACTGGGGGCTCCAGACCTGGATACAGTACTGCAGATAGGGCCTCACAAGAGCAGAATAGAGGGGGACAATCACCTCCCTGTCCCTGCTGGCCAGCCCTCTTTTGATGGAGCCCAGATACCATTTGCTTTCCGAGCTGCAAGGGCACATTGCTGGCTCATGTTCAGTTTTTCATCTATCAAGGCCCCCAGGTCCTTCTCTCAAGGACCGTTCCTTCCAGACTATACGGATGCCTGGGATTCCACCGGCCCAAGTGCAAAACTCTACACTTTGCCGTGTTGAACCTCATCAGGTTCACCCCGGCCCACCTTTCCAGCCTGTCAAGGCATCCCTCTGAGATGTCAGAATGATGTCTAGCAAAACTGCTATCTTGAACTCCAAGAGGGTAGACGTTGACCTGTCCAGGACGCTAGTAGCACAGGTCCCTTGGGAGACGCTTCTTAAGGGTAAAGGGATCCAGGAAGCCTGGATGCTCCTCAAGATGGAAATCTTGAAGGCACAAGAATAGGCTGTCCCTGAATACCATAA